ACAAAGATTTTGTTTCCATTTTTTCCTTTTCTCATATTTTTTCTTTTCCCTTCTTTCCTTTCCCCTACCCTTCCCACTTTCCCTGCTCCTTTAGACCTTTTTTTCCTATTTCACATTATTGTTATTGTGCTCTCTTGAAGTTCATTATACATTCTGGATATTAACTTTGTCATTTTCTCCCAATTTTATGATTAATTTTTTCCTGTGCAGAGCATTTTGGTTTGATATAATCCCATTTGTCTGTTGTTGGTTTTGTTTCCTGTGCTTTATGGGACCTTGTTCTAAAAATAATTATCTCAAGGTTTAGCATTGGTCCCTATAATTTATACAGTGAGAAGGTGACTATCTTCAAGTTGGACAAGGGGCCTCAACTAGAAGTGAATCTTGTGGCACCTTAATTTTGAACTTCCCAGCCTCTATAACTGTCTGAAATAAATATCTGCTGGTTAAGCTCCCAACCAAAGGTATTTTGTTGTATTATCTGCAGTTAAGACATGTTATGCTTCTTTGTTAATTCCTTTATGTTATGATTTACATCTAAAATGTTCCCCCAAATTCTCATGGTGTGGAAAGTGATTTGATTATGGTGGTATTACACTCATCTGTGGATTAATCCATTGTTGAATTCATAGCTAAATGATTTTTAGAAGGTGGGGCCTGCTCAGGAGAGGTGGTTCATTGGAAATGTGACCTGGATGTGTGTTATCTTTCTCTCCAACTCCTCACTTCTCAGCTTCTTGGCCACCATGATATGAGAAGCTTTCCTCTACCAGTCCTTTCTACCCTGCTCTTCCTTTAACTCCTGGGTGTTGAGTATTTGTCCCAGCAATGATAAAGTTAATAAGATAGATTTTGCTATTGATTGTATACAGTTATTCTAATTTATTTTATTAATTCTGCTATATTTGTTTTCCTTATGTTTTCCACTGATTTTACTAATTGCTTTTGGGAATTTTTGAGTTCTAAAATCTTCTACTATATGGTATATTTTTAAAAATTTTGTACAGTTCAACTAAATTTAGAAAAGAAAATAAACTTATTCTAAAGCTTTTATTTATAAATATACATTAACAAATACATAGAAATCTCTATTTCTTCATATTTTCCATGTGATTCCTACTAAGTGAATGATATTTATAGCCAGATATTTACATTCTATGCAGATATAAATATGTATGAAATATATTAAAATTTTAAAGTTTTGTCAGTATTGGTACTTGCTTGAAGTCTCATACATTGATATGGCTACATTATTGAGCAAATAGATTTATTTGAAGCATATTTTGTAGCTTAATAGGAAGGTTGAAGAACAGGGCTGAGAAAATAGGCAGAAATCAGGGGATGGTCTATTGGTTGGAAACAGTAACTGTCATACCACACAACTTCATGTACTTAACATAGTGGTATTAATCACATATATAGAAACTGGAGGTTATTATTGTCCTGGCCGCCAATGGATACTGGATTCCACCATCAACTAATAGAGTGAGGTATAATCTACATTTGTTTTTTATTCAGTATCACAGGCATAAATATATATCATTGGTTGAATTGGGATACATGCCTGTACCCAGTTGCCAGGGCATGCAGAGAAAAAAGTTTTGGCTTTGGGATCTTTGAAAATTCATATAATGTGACTTTGAAGATATTTCAGACAATTTTGGGACCACTGGAACAGAAAGATACATTCAGAGATCTGTATGTAATAGAATCTTCAAGCTGTGAGTATCATGTTGAGCCTATGAAGGAAGATGATGACAGAGAAACAAATCTATGAGATGGAAACAGAGGCCAGGGGTGGAAAGACAGTTCCCTAATCATTCACTATCATTAATTGCAGTCTTTTCTGAAATGAGTAAGAGTCATAAAATATAATTCTACTTACTTAGTAAAGGATGTGGAAAAAAAAAACCT